AAGGTTTTTTTTTAGCCGAAAAAAAAAAAAAAAAAAAAAACTAGAGTCATAGAGCAAGCACTTTTTTTATATATTTTTTAAATCATGAAATTAGTTTGAAACTTAACTGTTACATCAAATAAAATCATATTAAAATAAAAAATAATTTTTAATATAAATAAAAAGTAAAATATTACTCATAATTCATTTTGTTCACATTTATCGTGGAAACCCTTCTTAAATAATGTTGCAGGACGTTCACAGTGAAAAAGTGGGTCCCACAACAATGATGCTTAACACACGGATTGTACATCATATATTTTCAATGTTAAATTGTGGAAGCCTCATGTAAGACCCACCATGGAAGGAAGGAGAGAATATCAAACCTTGTAAATCCAAGGTACGTACTTTTTTTTTGTGTGGGGGTGGTGGTCCACTTACTTTATAATGCAGTGAAGACACAAAGGAATCTATCAATCAAAGGCCATAGAAAACCTATCGAAAAAAAAGGGGGCTAAATTGTTTCTAGCTCCATGATGGGCATGAGATGAGCTAGAATACATGTCATCATCATATAATATGGAGTGGCCAGCAGAAGATAATTGTTGATTTTGATTCCTTACATATGTCACTCACCCTCATCTTATCAGTTATCATCATTAAAATTCTCTATTTCAAAAGTTTGTGTCGCGTGCCTTTCAATTTTCAGTTTTTGATGTTCATGTCATGTATCATTTTATTAATTTATGCATGGTGTCTATATTTGTATACAATTATAACCATATTTTGTATATGCTCCTTTTCTTTCAAGTTTACGTGACTTGATCTACTTTGAATTTTACTTCCTTTCTAGTAATTTAATTAGTTCTCGAGTTTACAAAAACAAACAATTAAGTTCAATTATGAGAGAAAATTTTTGAGAAGTTCTGGAACGGCCTTATTTTGTGAATAACTAGCGGATACAAAGAACTGGTCGTTGTGATCACAAGAAAAAAGTTCTATCAATTATTAACAACCGTTCTAAACTGTCAATCAAGTTTTGTTAAATTAACATATATTTTTTTATTCTAATATATGATTCTTATGTTTACCCTTTTAAAACTACATCTCATCAATAATGATTTTTCTTTTTCTTTTTCAACACGTTACCTCAGAATTTTTCAAGTAATAATACCTAAAGTGTCAAACTATGAGAAATTTAAGGAGAACAATTAAAAAAAAAAAAACGAAATACTTATACAATTATTTCCTGCAGAATTTGACCTATCCTTGACTACTACTGTTATGCAAATTCAATGATTCAGTTCCTAAAGAAAAAAAAAAAGTGGGGGAAGAAAGTACTTAGCTGGAAGTTTAAGAAACAAATGGAAATGACCTTAAAATTTGTGTCCACACTGACAAACAGTTGCTTTCTTGAAAAAGATAAAATGAGCTGAATAGAGTGAGGATTTGTAAGCTAGGATTAATATTAACACATATATATATATATATATAAACATGCACATAATTAATTTTGTCTTGGGTGGGAAATGGATTCGTATGGTAATCTAGAACTATCCTATAGGAACCACGTAGCAAGTTTAATTAGCATTCATCAGTGAAAAGAAAAAGAAAAGCAACTCCAGCTTGATATTGCTTATAAGAGAACAGCATGCACATGCACACACCAGCTAAAACATAATATCAAATTGTGAACCGCAAAACGAAAATTTGTATAGTGCATTATGTATATGTATCGAAAAAGAGGAGTTGAGAACATTGAAGAAATACATACCAATGCAAGTATTCGCGTAGGTTGGGGTCGCTTGGACTGGGGGCATCAGGGTCGACCATAATCTGGCAATAGTACGTACTTTGAGAATTCATAAAGAAACCCACGACACGATCGAAGAAATAATTAATAGAGGCAAACCAAAGAGCCAGAATGAGAATGGTAAAATATATATGTAAAACACATGCATATATATATATATATATAATTAGTTCAGATATAAAAAAGAATTGCATACATACATACATATAAATATATATATTTATATATATATACACATAATCAGTATATATTATATATACTCACCAAAGTGTAGAAGGTCCTGAGGTCATCCCCACCAATGTCAACTCGAGGTTGGTTGACAACTTGAGAAGGTTTAAGCTCACAACCATTGTTAACCTCCTTATTACTGTAATTGACTCTAAGAGAAATAGACCTTGCAAATGGGTCCAAGACATCACCTATTACCCTCCCAACGACAAGAGGGTCTCTATCTCTAGGCATATTGTTAATTTGATAACGAAAACACAGCTCTATTTATTATTACAAGTTTTTTAGAATCCAATATATATCGAGGCTCATATTCAAGACAAGAGACCCAAGGGCTATTTATATATTTCACTTCCTTGCATGCCCTTCTCCTCACTTTTTGCTGCCCTACACATCAATAGATTCTTAGTAAATTCCCTTCGTTCTTTTCCCTCGAGAAAGAAAGAAAAACAAAATGGTGATGTTGCCTTCTTCCTCTTTCACGCTAACTGTAAAGTCGGGTGCCCCTCGTGCTTAGGTGTCGGTCCATGACACCTTTTCGAAGTTTGATACTTTCACGGGAATTAATATTGAAACAAGTCACTTAAATTGCATTAAGACTTCATTATGTATGTTGTGATCAATACATAAAAATATTGGTAAAATTAATCAGTGTATAATGTATATGTGTGTGTCGTTTATAATGTGTAATGCATATTAAAGACCATATATTAATATTTCAATCTTTTGAGAGAATTCCGTTTGGTACCTAGATTCGTTCCCTAATTCGAATCATGGTTCGTGGTTCGTTACAATATTTTGTCTCACAAAAAATACACGTAAATCGAAAATTGTTCTAATCATGTGGTTTGAATCCATCAACCAAACGCGATTTAAAAATTTTCGACATGCCAAGTTACTAGCTAGTTCACTCATTAGTGCCGTACACATGTATGTATGTATGTATGTATGTTGTACGCTAGAAGAGAGGTACATGACTTGGAACCAACTTAATTTGTCTTTTATTGTTGTTGTGTTGTCGTTAGTTTTCTGATGTGCACTCACTTGAGAATAGCCATATTCGAGTACGCACTTCCCACAACCAACTTGACAAAATGCTTCTAGATGTGGCTTATAAGATAAATACGTAACACACTTGTATTTGTGAGTGTTCACACACACACACACACGAACACTCACTACTGTTTTGGACCAGAAAAACTATATATATATATATATATATATATATGTTCCCTATCATACCTCTAAACGCTTGCTCTCATTTTCCAAGATCGTTTAGTCTCCATCGTAGCTCGTTCTTCGTATTGACGTATAATTATCAATTTAGGGCGGTTTGAGATAGCAATTGCTTTTACTTGTAAATAGTATAAGAAGAAAAGTAAAAATTTGGACTTTTTAATTAGTGTTTTAATTGTACATAAAAAATAACCTTTTGATTTTATAAGAGCTTAATTTGAACTGATTTAGTTAAAAAAGTCGAAAATTCTTATCGTTATTAGTTTATAGAAACTAAAGTGATACGAAAATATAAATGAAAATTTTAATTTGTCATTGCACAAACATGAGATCAAAATTATAAACGAAAAAGATTTTCGTAAGTTATTTTTTCATAAATATTAAGAAGTAAGAAGGTGACTTGTTTTTTTTTTAAAAAAAAAATTATAAAAGCCAATTAAGGGGTGTCCATAACATATTTAAAAATTGCAGTGGACTAAATAGGTCAAAAGCATATATTTTACGGTTTTAATTAAGGTGAAAACGACAAACTCTTAGATAAGGCACTTTCCACAGGTGAACAATTTTACAGTTGGATGCCAAAAAGTATGTTGCGCAAATGAGTGCATTCATATATTAAAGATTCACTACAACAAAAAGAGAGAAAAAGATAAATAAATTAAGATTTGAGGTGAATTAAAATTAATAGGTCAATAATTTATATAAGTTAATAAATAGGTTAAATTACTATTTTCGTCTATAATTTGTCTGGTTATGAACCATAACTTGATAAGTTATTGTCCATAACTTATCTGATTATGAATCATAACTTGACAAATTTGTCTATAACTTATCTGGTTATGAACCATAACTTGACAAGTTATAGCATATTAATTTCTATAACTAAAAAATGGCCTATATACTTTCTTAAACTTTTCATATTGGCCTATTTCTTTCTATTTCCCCAACAAAAATTACCTTCTATAACGCCAAAAAAATGCAACCGTTACAGATTGGTAACGTTTTATCAAATGTTGTGATAGCCCCTTTGGCCATATTGAAGCCCTTTTTTTTTATATATAAAAAAGAGAAAAGGAGAGAAAAGCAGGGCTTTGATATCAGTTAAATGCGATAAAGTTTTTTTTTTAATCACTATAATTGTGCTCATATGGTTCATAAACGACAATCATTTGACATCTCCAATCAGATAGCAAAAAACATATAATCTCAAAATTCATTATATATTCAACAACTATGTTTTATATTTTTCATGGTACGAAATTATGAAAATTTTTCAAAATATTCCCTACATCTAGTACATCTGTTCATTAGGGCATGAAAAAAAAAAATAGTTACAATCACATAATTTTGATATCCAACAATTATCTCTACATCCAAAAGAAAACCACCAAAAGGTTTAAACCCAATGGGGAAGGGGTAAAGGCACTAGAAGAATGCTGAAAACTAACCATGATCAATTCCAGCTAATTTGGAAAGCCTTCCAAATTCCTGAAATAGACATTCCTTATGACACAAATATTCAAATTAAAAAACATTTTTTTTTCAAGCAGGAAACACTATAAACTAGGCTACTATAATTTCCAACAAGCAGCTTCGTAAAAAAAGAAATGATTTAATCACAAGCTTATTGATACTAAGAAAGCAATATTTAGGAGAATACATGAGACTTTCATAATTATTCTATAAAATAAACAAGGAAAAGAGAAGCCAAAGAAAGGGAAAAAAAAAAGAAAAAAGAAAAAACTAAACATATGGAACTTTATCTAGTAGGACTGAAAAAAAAAAAACCGATAATTCTCTACTCTTTAACCATTAGATTTGTATAAAAAACTGTCTGTTTTGCATTTTTTTTTTAATTTGATGTGATTTTTACCATATCTAATTAACTGCTTGATACAAAAGAATATTGGTTAAATGATATTGAAAGCTAAATTTATTGGTTTGAAGCAGAAACAACAACGATTGATAGAGGATATAGTTAGGAAATCAATTATAGTAGGAAATCAACGATTGAAAGAACATGGGAAAGACTCCCGAGTCCCGCGCCCCTTTTTTACATTTTTGAGAGAAGAGTTTTCTACAAACGCTATAAACTACTGTTATAAAAGCCACATATTATTTACTAAGTTTTTAAATTTATATATACTGTTATTATTGTAGATTTTAATGGATTTCTTCTTGGAGAATCTTTTCGGCTCGTTTGTTTTACCTTTTTTGCTGTCATTATCTCTTTTCTTCTCTTTACAGAAAATTCTGTAGTAGGACAAACAAAATACACTCGTATTAATATACCATAATTAATGTCACCTATGTATGAAAAAATTCTTATTTTTTAATCTAAGAAATATTTAAAGATTGATATTCGATTTTTTCCATGCATGAATCTCGAGTCACAACACCACACCTCTCTCGCTCTAAGGTATAATATATCCTAAACTTTTTTTTTCTAATAAAAAAATCAGTTGCATCTCTCACTTGGAGACCGTTTGGTTAGAGAATTCGTTCTCTAATTTGAATCATAGTTCATAATTCGCTACAGTATTTTCTCTCATAAAAAACACACGTAAATCGTAAATCGAAAATTTATCAGTCTATGCTGAAAAGTATAATTACAGTTTCACTGTAGACACCAATTTTTTTTTTTTTTTTTTTTTTACCCTTAATTAATGAGAGAGCGATACCTAACAAGTCATCCTCTTGCCAACATATATACCACCATCAGTGGTGGTGGATATAATACCGTAATTAGAAAAGAAAACTTTAATCGCTTATTACTTATATTTGGCACATTACCATGAGGGACAAGAAAGTAACAACCGCAGAGAGAGATCTCACCATCATGAAGAGACTAGGGTGCACGTGAAAAGAAGCAGAATAACTGGCTACGCTATCCATTTTTATAATAAAAAAACAATAACGTCGTTTTCCTCTATAGGAGTACTTGTCTATAGTCCCCTAGTTTAAAAAATAAAGGATAACTCCTCTATGTGCCATCATAACGGATCCATGTATTAATCGTAAAGGGTCAAAAGCCTAAGGTAATGTTTTTATATTGAGTCGTAATAGTTAGTAGTTTAAAAATTAAAAAGTTTTTTTTTAATATATAACAATAAATGATTGTTATGTATACTTATTATGAATAATTATGTGAAAAATATTAAAAGACACATCAATAAACGACTGTCATTTTTACTGATAATATCAATCATTTCATTGTAACCGACCATCCTTTTAAACCTGAATAATATTATCGTGAAGAATTATATTTGTCATGTTCCTTTCTGATAGGCACATCTGATAATACATGAACATTTATTTGAAGTAGTATATGACAATATTTTATTTGTCACATGCTTAATAATGACTTTTAATTTCTAAAATAGTGACTGTTATAACTTAATATAAGAAAAGTATGCTAATCATTTAACGTTAATTATGGATGAAAATTTCCCAATAAAAATAGTGAAGGACCACGGAAAAACCTTCCTTTTAATAAAGAGGATAAAGTTGTTGAATATATGCCCTTCTCTCCGATTATAATCAAGACAACTCTATGTACGAAAAGTATCATATTTATGACGATGTCGTATTTTTAGACCTATTAAATTCTCATTAAATTTTTATCTCTCTTATCTGATATAAGTTTTATATAACGGTTAAACTGATATAGTACTATTTTTTATTTTGATAAATAATGCCAAGAATGCCAAGTTTTTATATCAATTGACATGGCATATGTTAGGAATGCCAATTTTTATTTTAATAAATAGTACTACGACATTCTCTAGTTGGTAGGTGTTTAAAAAAATTCTCACATCGATTACTCTTAAAAAAATCACATTGTAAGTGAGTTATAAAAACATTTGAAACCCTGGCATGATCTTTTTATACGTCATATCTGCCAAAGAAAAACAAAAACAATAATCTTCCAATTAATTGATGGCTTATAGTCTCTTCTTGTTCATTTAAAAAGAAATTCTTTTTTAGCTATTTGGGAATTTTACTT